ATATGCATTTACAGTAGTAGCATGGAACTGCCATATTGAACTCTTTTTGTGGTTGTCATACAAACGTCTCCATTGGAGGTAAGATCAGCAGCATTTTCCACAGCTGATCTCAGATGAGGTAAGCTCCCATCAGCAACATCTCAAGCCCAAAGTGGAATGCCAACCATTTCAACAATTCACTTTTCCAAATGACTGAGCTGGAAAATGTCAACATGGTGTTTTAGCATCAGGTTTCACATTGGTGCGAAATTTAGCACTGCTGTGTAACCAGTAAGTGTGCCGCTCAGGTTTTGTCTGACCCAAAAGGCTTTTGAGGGTTTTTACCAAAACGGCTTAAAGTGGGATTTGTAAACTTTTTCTGTGGAGTTGCTAAAATGTTGTTTTGGCATTTCTCTCACATCTTGCTTAATATTAGCAGCCCCAGAACTTATCTAGGCTTAATCTAAGGCTGTATCATTTCCAGTCATGTCTCTAGATGGTGGTGGACATGTGTCGCTGTAATTTAACTTTAGTCCACATGGTTCAGACATATTTTTAGATTTTCTATAACTGTAACAATGTAATAATGGACTTGAGTGAACATTGTCTGTCAGTTGTAATTGTCTGGTTGTGTCATTGTGTTGGAGTTCATTTCTGAAGATTAGATTAATTCTTCTTTTTACTATGTACTGTAGTGTAATTACATGGAAACAGACTGAGTTTTAAAAGTATAACTTAGTGGTTGTTGTAGATGTTAAGCTGGCCTGGGTCATAAGTATTCATATAATATCAACCAGGGAAATTATTTATTAATTATTCAAAGTGATTTTATTCTAAACGTCAGTAAAAAACTAAACAAAACAGAATATTATTGTTCTTTGTATGAAGAAGTGATACATAGCACTTTTCCTTCATGCACCAGAATGATTTATTTTCCGTGAAAGCGAGCAGTATCCAGTTTTAATACTTTTAAACAATACCCAAATGATATGCCAGCATTTGTTAATAATTTTGATGTCTGAAAGATGAAACCACCTTTATATAAAATAAAGTTTGTTTCAGTTTGAAAGCTTTCTTTGTAGCTACAAAATAAGATATTTTGTCTCCATTTTTAATTGAAAAATTCTGGCATTAAAGGTTTGAACTTACTCCCCATAACATTACACAGAAGCACTAGCATCTCGAATTGGTACGTCTGTTCCCACCGCTCCACTGTTAAATATTTATTAAGCAATCAATACATGTTGAATGAATAAGCATATACAATTAGATGTTACATCGGTCTGTGTGAAGTAACCAGTAACATCACAGGATTTTATTTGTATACCATCTACAGGTGTTTAATGAGGAAGTTTTATGCTTAAAAGAATGAATACATTTAAAAACGGATAATGCATTGAGGTCCATGGGTTTTTTGCCATTTCCATGTCATTCTTCAGCTGTTCCATGTGAGTGAGCTTATGTGGACAATCTCAGCATCACATACATGCTGTAGATATTAACAAATGTTGGCAACATGGACCATTAAGCTGTGCAGGTTCATGAAATGTCAAACTCTACTTCCCTTGTTCATGATGAACGCACTCGCCCAGTGAGCAGCTAAAATTTTGTTTTCTTCTTTATGAGAATGTTCAGCCTTCAAAGTGGATCCCAAAGCCTAGATGCAGTTTTCAGTCAATTTTATGGGAAGTTCTAATTACTTCCTTTTCATGGTGTTTGGTCTTGTTTTTAACCCTTTACTTTGTGGGTAGGCTCAAATGGAAAAGCTGAACATGAGCAAGTTGCATTAGACTTTTAACTGTCAGTATTGGTGGCAAATGTTCTAAAAATAATCAAGTCATGAGGGCATTTTTCTCAGTATGTAAATTTTTCATGAAAACAGCTAGTATTGCTGAGAAATAATCTCGAAAGTGTTGTTGCAGGAACAGTTGCTCAGTAAATTTTCTGTCTACTTAACTAGTGTGCTGTTTTATCCTCTTTTCATTAGCAGTACGACAAGGAAGTTAAGCTTTTGAATTAAATCTTATTTTTGTATCTTAACTAACATCAGCTTCCTGAAACTATCACTTCCCCTTATTGTAAAATTGTAAAGGTTACTATATTTCAAATGCAGTTTTTAATCCTTCTGCAGCAATAAAGTGAAATAGGGTTGAGAGTACAACCGGCATAGCACAATGAGGGACGGCAAACTGCCTTCTCTGTGGGCCAAGGAAGTTACCCAAAACTGACATGTCCAGCACCAGCGTGCTGCCCGCCGGGTATGGGCTTCCTCACATGAAGACGTGTCTGTTAGCAGTAATCACTAAACCAATTATGTAATGATTAATGGGAAGGTTGACTGGTGCGACAGGCACTGTGATATTTTATGACGGTACTTTTTTTTCCAGTTAACCCATTCTGCACACAAAGAGACGCAAGTCATCCATTTACATGTCAGCATGTGGTTTCTCCTTAGAAAACCATTTTAACAAATTTACCAGGCACACATTTAACAAACCTGTTAGGTAAGCCCACTGCTAGTAGCTCTGAGAAAGCTGTGCCAGCACAAAAAACCCCCTGCTTATTTAGTTTTGGAAAGACAATCTGCTGTCAGTAGTATCATTTCTGAAATGAAAACAAAACAAAGTAAAGTCATAGAATTCCTGGAACAGCTTGAAGGAAACCTTCATGTTTACCTCCCCCCAAAAAGCAAAAAGGGGTGCTAATACTGTGTAGCTCTGGAATGCCTTTTGAATATAACGTGAAAGTTATTAATTGATTGAATCTTTCTTTTTTACAAGCACCATGCAGTAAGCTGCAGAGGATGATCACCAAGAAAAAGAAAATGCTCAAACTGGAATTAGCCTTTTAGATTTCTAAAGAACTTTTCTTATCTTTGCGCTAAACTGTGCTTAACTGGAATGTCCAGTACATGTCACTCCAAAGCCATGTTCTGTTCATCAGTAAAAACTCTAGTTGGAGTCTCATATTTTTAGGAACAAATTTTTTCTCTGCACACATTGTGTGCTGCACAGTGTGGACTGTTCCAGTGTGATTGGAACAATCTGACACCAAAAACCGCAACAGTCACCGTGGTGAAATTTTGTAGTTCTTCCTTTTGCATCCAAAAGTTTTGTGTTGAGTTTTCTCTCACCAACGATCAATGGCACATTTGCAATGTAAAATCTACAGGCTTTGTGGATGATTTCCATACACAAATGACCTGTTTGTTGGTCTTTGCTCGAGGTCATTGTATTAAACCTTCAATGACTGAAAACAAAATGTCTATCCTGTTTGTTACCTTAAAGGTCCTGTTATTTATTTATACTTTTTCTTATAATTTTCAACTCACTATAACACAAAACAGGCAGGTGTTTACTATGTGAACATGATATTAAAGTTTCAAGTGCAAAAAAAGTGAAGAACCATAAAGATTTCCTTTCACTGAACATTGCAAATTCAAAAGAACAAAAATGACTGAAAGTTTATTTTCCCTTATACAAAACATCTTGATTCTATCTTGAATTCTATGAGGCCAAGTTAAGACTTGTTTGATTCTGGAAGATACCAATGTTCTGAGAAGCTCTGCAAGAACAGATAAACTGGAAACGTAGCTGAAGCAGAAAGATGGATCATTTCAGGTGCAGGTCAGCTATTTGAACTGTGAACCGATGACGTTTTGTTTCAACATTCAATTTCAGGTTGGAACAGTTTGCTGAAGCCTTTTGGTCATGTTTCATATCCAGTTGAAGGTACATTCGGGCCAAGAAGTGGCTCAATGCCCATATATTGGTGCACTATTATTAGAGTACTGATTTTCTCTCCTTCCATAACATCAGTCATCCTGACATAACTCTGTTTTGCTTGGTTGGACTTTCGCACTTCCTCTTAAGAAGTCCATTTATAGTCATGTACTGGAGTTTTAAGTTGTGTAATTTAGTGAAATTGGACTGCTGGGGTCCCACAAAGGATGGTTAACTCATACCGTGTGTCATCTCTTTTTATTAGATGTCTCTTTTTGTTTTCTGTTTGGAAATATACAATACACAAAGCATTTTTACATTAAAGTAAAAATGTTAATAAGTGGTAATTGTCACTTTTAAGTAGCCTGAAATCAGACAGAGTTGCCAGATGTTTTCAATAAGGTAACTCCAGTATTTAAACATTCTAACGAGTAGCATGATTTTGCTAACTAAAATAGTTACATATTTACACATTTTGGGTTGACACTGGCATGATTCCATGCAAACACACGGGGGCGTCCCAAAATGGAGTGACCAAAACTTAAACTGTTGCAAGGAGATAGTCATGATCAAATAGGCAGCGTAAATAATAATTTAGGTATATAAGGTAATTTTTTTCCATGGTATTTTTTCTATACATGCATACTTACCCTTCTTAGTTCACCTGAAATTATGACAATAGTATATAGATGTAGCTCATTGATTGATACGTTAGTGATGGCAAAAAAAGGTTTATACGCTCAGCATTGGCCTATCTACCATACCCTGATGTGTTAGAGAGCTGGGAGGATGTCTTTCCATTAAGTGCAATTAAATGAATAAACTACGTGTTATAGCACATATAGTTGCTGTGGTCAGCAAGTGAGGTATGAGCTATGTAGTAATTGGCTTGCTTTGGAAACTAAACTTTGAGGACCAGGAAACAATAAAAAAAAATAGTGGCCTTAGCCTTATGTGAGAGACAGAAAATAAAAGTTAATCAGAAATTATTTTCAAGTGTACTGTTTTTATTTGTAGTATTCCCAAAGGGTGTTTATTAAAAACATTAAAGCAAAAATAACCAGACGTAAAAAACAAATATGGAGGCACACTTTTCACGGTGTCCAACATGATGGAAGTTTATACTATTAGTCGTGCTCACAGCAGTGAGGTGGTCATTTTTATAGGTTTATTCTGAACCAACCCATACACAAAACATAGCCAGCATATTAAGGTACATGGTCATGTCATATATTGACTATACTTAATAGCACAGTGTGTGTATTATCAGTCGATGAAGTGTTTACCCCTGTTTTTGTATTTTGCTCAGAAGCACAGGCTCAGAGGAGGTGGAGTCATGAGTGCACAAGAGGCACCAAACCCTGGAAAGGAGCCGGCAGAAGGAAGTGGGAGTGCGGGCGCAGAGGCCTCGGCTAAGAGCACTACTCCACCTCCTGTCACTGTAAAGAAAGAGCCAGGAACCTCAGAGACCAGCAACGGGAAAGTTGTTGATCCCAACCCAGCAGAGATCTGTGTCGTCATCGGAGGAAATGATGGAGGATCGAGTGGAGGTGGAACACGTAGAGCTCAGTCCGAGGGTATGTTTGCCCTTGGTACACCCCCTCCAACGAAGAGCACAGACTCATGCATAGGTGTGTGAATGTGTACCAGCTTATTCCTGCATTTGCAGGCTCCATTTGAAAGTACATGCAGAAAATCAATCAGAAATATCCAAGTGTTTTTTGTTTGAGCTTCATGAAAAGAAACACCCCCTGAGAAAACTACCGACATCACATTGTTATGTTTTTAACTTTTTAAATGCAATTTTCCAATCTGGTGAGCACAAATGAAATTCCTCTCACCTCCATGTTTAGGGATGACAGAAGAAATCCTGTCAATGGAAAATGAATTAATAACAAATTGTGCATGGCTTGCAGTGGTGGCATTAGAAAGAAAAGACAAATGTATTTTTGTATTTCAATACAAAAAATGTGGTGGTCAAACTTGAAACCATGATTATGGACATTATTATGACAATGCATGCGACGTGGATGAGTGCAGCTATGCACACGAATGGTTAGTTGAGTACTGGTGGACCGTCCAGCGTGTACCCTGCCTCTTGCCCAGTGACTTCTGGGATAGGCTCCAGTCCCCCAGCGACCCCATTTGGGAATAAGCGGTTCAGAAAATGGATGGATGGATGGTTGGTTGATTGCAAACCTTTTAATGCAGCACCTTTATAAACCCAAAGCTGTGTCATATGTAATTATTGGGGATCTCGTCAGTTCTCTTAAAAATCACTTTGGAATGGTATTTTTAATGTTTTTCATCAGCTCAGATTCATGGGATGTTAAACAGCACCTGGCATAAATGATAGCATCACCAACTTTTTTATTTAGTGATAAAAGTAAAGCAAAATTACTGCAAAACGATTGTATTCCAAAGCCGTTTTGTTGCTTGAGAAAACACTAACATTGTATTAGGTTGTTTTCTAATAAAAAGAAAAGGAATATAAAGGGAAAAAAAGAATCGGGTGCTATTGACAAGAGGAAATTATGGAATCCAGAAGCAAAAAAAAGCACATTTCAATTGCCTCTTGTCTGGCTTTTCTGTGAGGTATGATCTTCACTAATGATAGCCATATTCTTCATCTGTCAGGTTCTATTGCTCTTATTTAACAGCTGACAATTCACTTTTTTAGTATGAAGCATTTTTTCCAGTTTCCGCCAATTTCAAACGAAATGAAATCCATATTAATTGGTATCTTTGTGATCATTATCACACTGATAAATTATCTTTTAATCGGCACATTTGCTTAAAAGATTATGAATGATTGTCATCTTTATGTTTTATTGTAATTGCACCACAGAGAAGATCCAGCATCATCTTCTTATAAAACACAGTCATCCACAGTCCACCGCTGCCTCTCTTCAGTCCACTGTAACCTTGTTTGGAGAAAGTTTATGTTGGAATTTTCTTGATCGTAAAAAAAAATCCCCAACTGATTTAGTTTTTCAAGTTAAGTCTTGGACATTTGACTCCTGTTTCTGTTTATTTTTTCTTCTTTTTGGCATTTTCTATTATCATATCAGTTTTAATTGCCTGTTCTGTCACATTTTCCCATTTTGTTTATTGCCACAGCTGGATGGTAATAAGTTGCATCTCCCCCTCACTCTGAGTTTAAAAGCATTCTTGAAGTAGTTTTATAATCCTTTCTATTGTTTCCACTCACGACTCTTGATGGGGCTACTTTTCCTGTTACTCAGACGGTTGCAAACAGGTTTTTAAACTCCGTAAGCACCGTGTTCAAACTAGATTCATTTGCATCCAGACCTGTGCAGGTGTTTTTGTTATGAGGGTGATTTAAATTTTTGCCTCCACAATTGAGTGACTGCATTTTTCCCCCTGAGGTTTAAAATGGTTACAATTTTTATTTTCAAAAGCATGTTTTCCAAAGTCAGACCTTTCAGCTGCTAAATGTTTTGTTATATTTGTGTTTAATTTGAACCTCCTCCCAGAGTGATGATGCCCTCATTTATGGCACATGTTTTAAAGTATGGAAACTCTCTCTTTGTGGTCCACTGTTAATGTTTGTGGGTGGCATCAGACTTTATTCAGTCAGTCAACTGTCATTCTAATTCCTAAATTATAATGCCTTACAAATTAAGAACATTAAGGAAATTGTGTAAGATGTGGTCTTTTAAGCTGTATGACAATGTTAACATATTTGAAAGAAAAAATCTGAAAGATAATGGCTTCTCAAACTGACTGGAGACGCTGATATAAAACCACTTACAATGTTTTTTTGATGCTGTGGTGCTCTGTTTTTATAACATTGGTTTGAATCTCCATGCAGGTTCGTACGTATGTGGGGTTTGCGGAAAGAAATACAAGTATTATAACTGCTTTCAGACACACGTGAGGGCACACAGAGGTAAGCCTCCTTTTATTTATTCATTTTCATTTCATTTTACTGTTTTCAAAATGGTTTGGAACAACAAAACAACTAAATTGTATTAGTTTCACTGCATATAATGCAAAAACAGCATAATGGGCATTTAAGACTTGCATGGATGGGGCAGCTCTAAAACATCTCTTGCATCACCTGCTTTAGTATCAGTAGACATATTTGTGACTTTTCATTCATTTTTGGTTTGTCACTTGTTTCAGCTGCATTGGAGTTGTTTTTTTATTACATTTTTTGTAATACATTTTCTATATTATCAGTGCTAGATGATTTGAGGTCTTCAGATTTATTATTTTGAGCCAAGATAAAATGCTGACAGTGTAATGTTGGCTTTGTTTTTCAAAAATAAGATGGACTTTCTACGATAGCCTGGATGGTAGCTGAGCACTGATTTCACCAGTATAAGATACCATACCATTACTTAAGCTTTGAAACAGTCTTTAGGAAAAAAATGTGACTCCTTAGTGTTTTTGTTCTATTCCCAGCCCCGGCTAATGCAGAAACCATGGTTTCCAAAACAGATGAGCACATTTTTATTCATCAGACCACAGACTAGTTTTCCATTTGGCCTCTGTCCATATGTAATGAACCCAGATAGGGTAATGGCATTTCTGAATCATATTTAGTATTTATTGTCATATAAATGTTTCAGTTTAGATTAATGGATGACAATAGTCTAATTACTATTAAGTAATTAATTGAATAATTTAATTATTTTGTAAGTGGGACCTCTGCATCCTTTGTTATGCTTTGATGTTTTGTTTGTAAGGTGTGAAAGCGCATTACGCTGTTGCAGCATCAGATGTTACTTTGTGTTTTTGGCCCACATTCCACAATGGCAACATGCTGTTTTTCTCAAAAGTTTGACAAAAGAGCCATGCTCCCGTTTTTAGTCAGTGTGAACAAAAACAGGTGTTTGTGGAATTGGATACAAAAAAAGGTTTATCTTCATTTTGAACTATTAAAGGAGATTAAACCATTTAAACAACCTTTTTGTTTCTCCACCCGATAGTGTTGTCTTCATTTATTTGTTTTAAACTTTCTCAAGTCATGCTTGTCTCGTTTAATAAGAACTTTTAATCATTTGCAAAATGTTGTATTACCAGCAAAATCCCCTCATGTAAAAGATGGACATTTTTAAGCTCACAGTGACGTTAATCTGATGAAGTACGTCAAGTTTTTTTGTTTTTTCCACTAGAATCAGAGAGCATGGTTGCAGATGGTCTGCCTCAGGCACCCAACAGTAAGTACATTTTGCTACTCATCAGGTAACCAAACACAGCTCCATCTGCATGCCACCTCAGCTGTTTATTTAGGCCTTAACTTGTCTTCTGATTGGAAACCCTGCAGTATGCCAGTTATTACAGTTACATGGTACAATAGGCAGTAAAAGATTGTGTTTTGTTTGATGTGTAGGAGGCTAAATATCCGCTGTCTGGACCAGTGTTTAACAGGTTTCAAACTGTCACAGTAAAAGTTTGATTAGGACTAAAAATACCCGTACCTCAGAGTGGTACTTGCGTTATTTATAAATCTTCCTACACGCACTGCAATCATTGTGTCAGTGTGAACACTGAATAAAGGCAAACATATGAACATGGAGGTGTCTAATGCACAAAGGTTGGGATGATGTTTAGGTCATTCAAAGATCACAATCCTCATGATCTCACACAATTAACAGTAAAATATAGAAATCATGACACATGTTTAAACTGAAGAGCTTCATTTTTTCTTGTATCATAGAACAGATTACACTGATTAGCAACAGGTCAGCGAAATTATTCTGTGTGGGGGGGGGAAATGCACCTTAGAGAGGAAGAGTAATTCTAACTTAACTTGTGAATATAGATTCAGCAGTCTGTAAAAAAAAAAAACTCAACTATCTATAAATTGTGGATCTTTACAATTAGTTTTTCTTCGGATCCCAAGCATTAATAGTCCATCATCTACAGTAAATTTTAAAAGCAAAAGACTGATAATCTAAAGACTTCTGTGGTCCAGGGCCATGCGGAAAATTTGCATTAAATGGCTGTGATTGTCGGGTTCTCTGGTTGCGCTTCATTAAAACAGACAAGACTGTCATGGAAATTACTGCATGGGCCCAGGAAGCCTTCCAGAAATCACTGTCTGTGAACAAAGTTCATTTCACCATCCACAAATGCTGGATAAAGCTCTGTCAGAAGCCAAATGTGAACGTGATCCAGAAACACAGTCTTCTCAGGGCCAGCGCTCTTTAAAGTGGAATGAGACAAAGTGGAAAACTGTTCTGTGGTCAGACGAATTGAAATCTGAAATTCTTTTTGGAGATCATGTGATGCCTCGTCCTCCACACTAAAAACTAAAAGGACCATCTGGCTTGTTATCCAGGCTCAGTTTGAAAGCCTCTATATCTGTTTATATCGGGGTGCCTATGGAAATGGCAGCTTTCACATCTGGAACGTTATCAATTCTCTCCAGAAGCCGAGGGGCAGGTTTCAATTCAGCCAGATGTTTATTAATTGTTTTCACAATAGGAGGGAATTCTTCAGTGATAAGTAATGGCTCTCTCACCAACCCTTTTTTTTGTCAAATGTTGTTCCTTTTTATTTTTTAAAAGAAATAGTAAAATTCTTCACGTCCAATGCTACATGTTTTTTACATTCTGCTATGAATAAAATTAAATGAATAAAATAAAATGCTATGAATAATATATTGCTTTATGTGATTCTCAATCCCCAATTCTCAAACTTTTGAGAATTGGGGTTGTGCAAAGAATAAGGCACAGACCAGAAGCCCTGTGACAGGATTAATATGTAGGCGAGTGAGGCTGCTTGGCCAAGAAAGTGTTATTAGATTAAATTCTTATGAGGATGGAAAATGCTGCGAAGCATTTTTGGTTGATGCTGCATGTTTAGACCTTAAACTTGATAATGCTTGGCATATCAATTTACAAGTGTATTTTTAACTCCATCGCAGTTCTGTGAGCAGCTCAAGTGGCCCCAAAATGAAAGTGAGAGAAAGTGATTATATAGCTGAGGGACGGATAAATTAAGTAATTGCCCTAGGATAAAATCTGGAACTACATTTCAGTGTGAAAGCTAAGTTTAAAATCCTCAAGTTAGGGCAGCACAGTGAGGAAGTGGCTTTGCTACTTTTAACAGTAAGTCCAAATCCGTCCAGCACTAGATTCCGAGCTCTTTTTTTTCTTTCTTGTCTTCTAGTTAGAAAGATTTTCAACAGGAAAATGCAGCATCTAGTTGTGGAGGAGGGTGTTTTGTGAGTCACATTTTTTCAGGGCTTCAGCAAGCTTTTGATACCTCTTATTAATGTGAGCGCCGAGGCTAAAACAGTCCAGCTGTTCGAAAAGAAAAAGAAGGGAGAAAAAATCAGGTGCTGACGGCTTTGGGATTCTTACCCGTATGACAATAAAATTCAACTCGGGACGTATTTTTATGTACATTTTATTGAACAACAATGGAAAATACACTTTGGTGTCCATTTTGTCTTTCTGCAGGCTGATTTTTAGCAGGTAGTATCACAGATGTGTTTTTAGTTTAAGAATGGATTGGAAGCCTCTACAGCAGCAGACTTTACAATTTTAGAAATTACTAATTGAATATGCGAAAGGTTATAACTATTTTGGTTGTAACATCTGTGAGACAGAGAATGAACCATCTAGTCTTGGGTTTAGTTTGTCTCTTCACTGAAACCGTTTTTTAAAGGATGTCAGCCTGTGGGGATCAGCGTCCAAAGCCAATTAGCCCTTCTGTTAACCTTTTATTGATTTGCTGTGAATGCATCCTCACCTACGCTTGGAGCAGTGATGTTATTTAAGCTTTAATTACACTTTCAAACGCCAAGAGTCCTCTAATTTATAGAATATAGTTTTAACCATGTTAATTGGTCGGAAAATGATAGTATATGGAAATCACTGTAACCTTGAGGTGTTATATCTGTAATTACAGGCAGGGACCCAAATAATCAAAGCTTAGCCTTCTGAAGGGAAAATTAGAAAATTGTTGTTTTAAATCAGCTGTGATAACAACACCATGACCCCTTTTATCTCATTTCAGGGCAGCTATTTATTCTGGTTGAGAGATGTGTGAATAACATTCTGAAGAAAAAAGTCAAATTCTCTTTTGGAAGCTGAGCACACCACATGAAGACTTTTTCTGACTGAAATATTTTTGATCCAGGGCAGAATGTGTTTTTTTTTTCTCTTGTCAAATGTTTTGTTGTGCCTTTATGTCTTTGAATTGCGTAAGTCAGCCATGAATGCAGCTGATTGAATTAACAGCTCCCTGAGAAGTGGCCCAGAGAGAATGGAGAATTTGTGGCTCCACTGTAAATGATAAAAGATTTGTCACATGGGTGCGTTCTGAGGCTCCATTTTCAGGGGCAACATCAGTCAGACACACAATTATGGATAGAACAAAAAAACCTGAGTCAACTGACTAGATCCACATAGAAATTGATTTTAATCTTTTAGCTGTTCTTTGCCGCTCTGTTCATAAAATGGATTCCATTCCGACAGAAGCTGATTTTTGGGTGCAGACTTTCACAACTGTCAACAAACACCTGGCTGCACAGTGATTCCCACAGCAGAAAAATAGATGGAGCAGAACAAGCAGTCTGCATCTTTAATGTGTGTTTATGCTTTTAAGCTTTTACAAATGTCTGTGAACGCTTAATCAATTAAATGTATAAAGTGAAGCTCTGTCTTAAAGTGTTATTGTGCAGTTTGAAACCTGTCTTTACTTCTGTATTACTCAATTAATGCTGCTGAAATTGTCATCAGTAATGCGCACAAGCTGTTATATATAATTTTCTTTGTTTTGTTTTTGTTCCACAAGGAATCTAATGTGTATAAATGTAAATATTTTTAAAAAAATTCTTTCCAGAGATGCAGCTTTACATTACCTTTGTCCTTTAGACAGAAAATAATCAGATCACTCATCATTTGGCTCAACATTTCATTATCAGAATAATCTAAACTAAATATGGTCCCAAGTACTATTTCTAATTTTTGTTTTAGAAAGATGAAAGAACAGAATCGGGTCTATATTTCTAAACGCCTTGTTTCAAACTTCAGAAAAAAATAGAAACTTCTTATTGGAACTGAAATTTCTGTGTTTGAGGTTGAGTTGTGATCTGTATTCTGTTTAGAATCTGTTTTTTTTTTTCAAAGTGTCAATTTAAGTAGGCACATTTCCTCTGTTGTAAGAGTGGTAAAAAAGGTATAAATGTTTAATATTTGATTTTCAGGCAGTTGTAAGAGCTCACTTGATGTGTGATCCAAAATGACTGAGTCTACCACTGACGTTTGATGTCTTCTCTGTATGTGAATCCAGTATGAACTCTCTTGGTCTTTTCCCATCTGCAGGTAGTTTCCGTTACTCCTGTGACATCTGTGGGAAGAAGTATAAATACTACAGCTGCTTCCAGGAGCACCGTGACCTGCATGCTGTTGATGGTAACCAGGACTTTTTGCACACTTTGCACTACAGTTTTTTTCATTATAACTTGACATCTCATGTCATGAACCAACCTCCTTTTGTGTATTTTCTGAAAACTCTGAGCCTCTCTTCCTTATATACTTTCCTTTTGTGATATAATATACACTATATTGCCAAAAGTATTTGCTCACCTGCCTTGACTCACATATGAGCTTAAGTGACATCCCGTTCCTAATCCATAGGGTTCAATATGACGTCGGTCCACCCTTTGCAGCTAGAACAGCTTCAACTCTTCTGGGAAGGCTGTCCACAAGGTTTAGGAGTGTGTTTATGGGAATTTTTGACCATTCTTCCAGAAGCGCATTTGTGAGGTCGCACACTGATGTTGGACGAGAAGGCCTGGCTCTCAGTCTCCGCTCTAATTCATCCCAAAGGTGTTCTATCGGGTTGAGGTCAGGACTCTGTGCAGGCCAGTCAAGTTCATCCACACCAGACTCTGTCATCCATGTCTTTATGGACCTTGCTTTGTGCACTGGTGCACAGTCATGTTGGAAGAGGAAGGGGCCAGCTCCAAACTGTTCCCACAAAGTTGGGAGCATGGAATTGTCCAAAATGTCTTGGTATGCTGAAGCATTCAGAGTTCCTTTCACTGGAACTAAGGGGCCAAGCCCAGCTCCTGAAAAACAACCCCACACCATAATCCCCCCTCCACCAAACTTTACACTTGGCACAATGCAGTCAGACAAGTACCGTTCTCCTGGCAACCGCCAAACCCAGACCCGTCCATCAGATTGCCAGATGGAGAAGCGCGATTCGTCACTCCAGAGAACGCGTCTCCACTGCTCTAGAGTCCAGTGGCGGCGTGCTTTACACCACCGCATCCGACGCTTTGCATTGCACTTGGTGATGTATGGCTTGGATGCAGCTGCTCGACCATGGAAACCCATTCCATGAAGCTCTCTGCGCACTGTTCTTGAGCTAATCTGAAGGCCACATGAAGTTTGGAGGTCTGTAGTGATTGACTCTGCAGAAAGTTGGCGACCTCTTCGCACTATGCGCGTCAGCATCCGCTGACCCCGCTCCGTCAGTTTACGTGGCCTACCACTTCGTGGCTGAGTTGCTGTCGTTCCCAAACACTTCCATTTTCTTATAATACAGCTGACAGTTGACTGTGGAATATTTAGGAGCGAGGAAATTTCACGACTGGATTTGTTGCACAGGTGGCATCCTATCACAGTTCCACGCTGGAATTCACTGAGCTCCTGAGAGCGACCCATTCTTTCACAAATGTTTGTAAAAACAGTCTGCATGCCTAGGTGCTTGAATTTATACACCTGTGGCCATGGAAGTGATTGGAACACCTGATTCCGATAATTTGGATGGGTGAGCAAATACTTTTGGCAATATAGTGTATTTTGTTAAGTGTGTGTTGAAGGTGTATTCTGATATCTTCTGAGCCAGCTAAATAATTCAGACCTATATGTAAAAAATGTAGAATAAACCACGTTTTTAAAAAAACTGTTTTTCTCATTTTCACTGGATTATTTGACTTTTATTAGTTCTTATGGGTTTGGTTTTTACAAACTATAAGTTTTTCTGAAGTTTGGGCGGATTATTGTAGAGATGATAGCAATATATCCAAAAGAATTAGGCAGATTAATGAGATGTTGATGTCTTCATATATGAAGATTGACAGTGACATTAGCCTTTGTCAGCTCCATCATAATTTTAATTCAGGATATTATCATATATTGTTATGCATTTATTACATTCAGTTCTTTAAATTATAATAGAAGTTTGGTATGGGCTGACATATTTTCTAACTCATGCTGCAACAAAACGTAAGAATTTTATCAAGTAAACTCATTTCAGGACAAGAAATCAGTAAAAAGACCATAAAAAGAGTTAACTTCCTATAGTGAAATCCATTTGAGAAAGGTAAATATTCAGTTTGGGCCACTGGTCCTGGAAATGATGCTACATCAATTTTGTCTTGCAATCGTGCTATTTTGAATCCTCACTGAAATAAAACATGAGTACCGGTAATATTACAAGCCTACATGTGAACCATGTGTCAGTCATGCAATTTAGGCTATACAGGGACGTATTTCATGTTATTATTGTGACGTATTCCAGGTTACAAAGATCACAGCTAGCAGTTCCATTATTCGTCTCTTTTCCTTTTCCTTTCAGATCCGTATGAACATGTAGTGCTGCCTGTGGATGGCCTTAAAGAGGAGGAACCAGTTGAACCCTATCAGAAAATTGGACCAAGTAAGACTGATCGATGTATTTATTTGTATGTTTAAATTGGGGCTTAAATTAAACCTTGGTGTTTCCCTCCCCACCCAGCATGCTCCAACTGATAGACAGCTGGTGTGTGACTCAACTCCTATTACTGCATCCCTTTTAGAGTGTGAGATGGGCAACTTAAACTCTTGTAACATTTCTTATTCAGACCTAAGATCATACTGAGCTAAAGTCCTAGAACAAATGCCCCTCACCAAACCCTTCATAAGCCGTACAGTTGCACCCCTCGTTCAGAAGAATTGTCTCATAGTGAAGGTTAAATCTAGACTGAATATGTGCTATTGCTTAGCAAAATGATCAAGTCTGCAATTCAGCAGTTTGAATTATCAGTGCCTTTCATGTGCTGATGTGCAAAAGAAACAGTTGTTTTTGTGATGTTGCAATATTTGTACAGATTTAAACTGTTTTCTGTTGCATTTCATTGACTTCTAGAAAATAACAAAAAGATTTAGGTAGTAACATATTTTTGGTAACAAAACAATTGAAACTCCCACTAAGCACTGATAATAAGGATAAAGTTACCTTCTCACTGGAGAGGTTTCGGCGTATTGGTCCATGTGACCCTTCAAACACAGCTGGCAGTGTTCACAGGTGGGAGTCCTCCCCATGTCGCAAAACCCCACACGACCACAGGAAGAGCTCTGTTTCTGTATTACTCAGTACTGAGGCGCCGCTGAACAGAAAATCTGATGAAAAAGTTAGAATCCCCAGAATCCTCAGCTACAGCTTTATCTCTGTTTGGGCCTTTTGTTGTCTGCTTCTCCCTAATCACATAAAACACAATTAACAAAGTGATATTGTCCCACTTTTTAATTGACAGCTAATCCAACAAATTCGATTTAACTGACATGATACTTGTTTCATCACTCTTGTGGATAATTATGAAAACAAAGGCTGGTTTGTGCATTCTTGTTTGCAGAAACTGGGAGCTATGTTTGTGAGTTCTGTGGGAAGCAGTACAAGTACTTCAACCCGTACCAGGAACATGTTGCTCTTCACACACCAGTGGGTGAGTCTGATTCCTGTCCCTTGAATAGGGTTTGAAAGTGACCAGGTTTGAGAATATAGCAAAGCAACAATGGCCCCCTGTAGCTGCTCTGTTTGTTTGTACATAAGCAAACTAAAGGTCATCTTATTATCAGTAACTTGTTGTTTTAATTTGGTGTGTCTTTGAGCTTGAAATCGTTTGTCAATGCAGGCTCATTTGATCTGAAGTCATCGAGGGTACAGGAATGCGGTAGTGTGGACATGAGTAAATATAGCCACACCCAAGCTGGTAAAATAAAAAGTAAGTATTTCATTCTACCATCCTCTTAAGCATTCACTTGGCATACTTGGTGACAATTTCATTTAGTGATACAGATATATCATGATATAAATAATTACTGCCAAAATACTGAGGCTGATAGGTTTTAAAATTAGTTGGAAATTACTTTAAAGAAGTACTTGTATCCTTTTTATTTTCCCTTTACCAGCACATAAGTTATGTTGAAATTTATAAGAAATTTAGCAGGAGTGACTAACTTCTCTAGAGTATGAGAAATGTTGGGAGCTACATCCATGATACAGGGGTCTTTACCAGAAAGCGATTTGGGGTCCCAAGTTTACTTTTAAAATGAATGTTTTAAAATAATATAAGATAATATTGTGAAATCTGTTGTCATTTATGGGAATTCCTTAGAATTTTTAAATTTTGTTGAAATTCATACCCAGTAACATCAACTCTCAACACTGTTGTAAAGCAGGTTCTTAAACTCGCAGACAAACTGCTTCTTGTGCCATTTACAGGATGTGGCTGAAATCTGTTCATAAGATGTATTTAACTGGCTGCATTACAGAGCTATATACCAGAATGGGTTATAATTTATTGGTAACTCAGAACTCAGAAGTACATGCTATCATTACTGCTCACAGACTCTGTAAAGCGGATGGAATGGATCAGCTTGTAACAGGAATACATACATTTATCTGAAATATTGATCTGTAAAAGACATCTGTTGTTGTTTGTACAGTGGTCAGAGAACAAAGCTTTTGTTTCTGTGGTGATTTGAAGGCTGCTCTCATTTGGAAAGGTGGATAAAAACACTATTGGAATGAAGCTTAAAATTATAGTTGATTAAATATGAAAACATGTCCACAGATATGCAGCCAGCTGGTTTTACACGGTGAATTGGTTTTGCTGGATTAGAGGAGCATCCAATAATGTGCATGAGGCCATTTCTTTCTTAATGTTGACCTTGGTGGAAATTGTTAACCTCTAGTGAATACTTATTATATTAGATACTTATTTTCTTGCTTTGATTAAATTTAATTGAATTGCCTGAAGCAAACTAACCACATTCAATTATATTTTCAAGCATTAATGAAAAAAGATGTCTAATGCAGAAGTTATTTTGCTTCATGAATCCAAACAGTACTAAAGTACTAACACTACATATATATACAAATACATTTTAAACAATCAAGTTAACGTTTTTCTCCAGTCAAAAAATGATGAACTTCCTCAAGATATGGTTGCATTTAGTGGTCACCCCCCCCCTCCTTCCCCCATTTCTTTGTAGCTATGAAGCACTCTGCCTATTTAAAGCATGCTGCACAGTGGTATCTTAGAAGTGGGTCAATAACATGGGATAAAGAGAAGGAATTAAAACCATATTTGGACGTAATGTTAAGATTGTAGTTCCTTATTTAAGGCTTTTAATGTGATTGATTTGCATGCTGCAAGCTAAAATTAAGTGTAAACTGCTGGTCATTAATTCTACTTTATAGAAACGGTTGTGTGGGGTTGTTGCTTGAATATGAAATACCATGCATCTTATTTACTGTGAACATGTTACTCATTGTTTCTCTTGCTTTTTGCTTACAGACAGCCCATTCAGGCGGAAACTGGAGAGTGCCATTCAGTCTAGTCTGGTTGACACAAACAGTTCACAGAACTCAAGCGGTGAGCTCTGAGTCACTTGTTTTTGTGGTCTTATTTTCAGTGAAACTTATTATTTCAAAAGGGTATTTTTAGTTCAAGAATTCTGACTGAACATGATTTTTCTGCAGGTGTATTTGAGCAGCAGTATAGACAGAAACAGTCTTTCAGCAGACAATGTTTTGCTACTTAAGCTTTGGGCTGAAAATTGAGATGGAGGGGGGTGCAGAGAGGTTTGAGTGACCTACCTTGCATTAGTTGTTACTATATAAATCCCAATTGTAAGGGCTCTATTATTATTATTATTCCCTTAGTGCTCAAACTATGAAAACAGAGACCATGTTGAATATCACATTTGGCTTTCATATCAGCTAAGCTGTAATTTGAAAAGATTTGTGCATCATCATTTCTAAAGATGTAATGTTGTGTGAAATGTTGTTAACAACTGAATACAGTGATTTGAGGTCTATATTTATTTGAAAACGGTGCAGACAGCATCAGTGTAATTTTATTTTTAAATGTTTGCTCATTTTAAATTAGACGCCAGCCACATAATAAAAATAGACTGAAGCAAATTTATCATAGCATTGCATCACTTCTTCTCACACCGACAGCTGTGGTTTGAAAGCAAAAAGTTGTCTATTTTCTGGTCTGTAGGATTTCGGCTGCTCAACAGTTTGAGGCCTCCTTTGGGTTTTTTTCCACAATGTTCTATATGTTTTTAGAGGGTGGCAGATGTGGAGGGCAGCTTAGCACTAAGTTTACTGAATTTTGATCAGATTTGTTCTTGATGCTGAAAACAGTTTGTCTTGCTGAAACAATACCCTAGGGGGAAAAAAACGTGTTTGTATGTCAGCATGCTTTGCCCGACACTTTAATATGCAGCATAGCAGTGATTCTTAAATAAAAAAGCCATGCACAGCAATGAAATCCACTTCTGTTGTAGTAGCCAACTGTGGAATTAAGAAAGCCAGAGAATGTTCCATTCTGTCAAACCTGGAAGTCAGTCAGACCCTTTAAAAAATTAGTCCAAGACAATTATTTTTAATTTTTCATAAAATAACAAAAACAGTATCACAGTAACAAATAAGAAACAGTTAAGATAACAATGAATGATGGTAGTTATTTAAAATGACACACACCTTTATCCTGTGGTGTGGTGTTACTGCTTCTGGTGCTAAAAGAAATTAACTGCTTTAATTGGCTCAAAGATTTTTGATTAAATCAAACACCCCAACCCCCTCCTGCCAATCACTCTTTATTACCGGGTTGCTGCATTATCTAAGCTTTCTTTTAATTAATCTAAGATGAGTTAATATGATGTTGTTTTTTCATTTTCCATTGCTTTTTATATGACTCTGGAGTTTTATTTCACTTTATAGCATCTCAAACTAATTCTGGTAATTGCTGTACAGTAAAAAAAAAAAAAAAAAGTCAGTAAATGAATTTTGATGTAGCAGGGAGCTGCTTCGCAGATGTAGAACAAGAGCTGAGTTGAGTTATACCAGTTCCCACTTCTGTTTTAACAAGGTCTAAATTAGCATGCTTTATCTGCTTAATCACTGTTGCTGAAGTTCTTGTGTTGATTGGAACGTTTAGTGCTGAGGCTGCAAATGGTTTTTACAGAGCTGTGCGACACGATTTATCAGAATTTAGTCAAGTTTGAGCACTAAACAATAAAGCACCTAGACAAAAGACCCGTAGCTTATTATTGAATGTTTGTTGACATAGAATTTTGAAGGATGTTTATAAGTGAGTTTCCCAGGACTTTTGATTAAAACTGGCCATACACACACCAGGTTCAATAATATCTCAGCAGTTTCGGTGACACTGAAACAACCCTTGTGGAATCTAAGATGATTGTTTTTTTATTGAAGACATTTTCTTAGAGACCATCTTTGTCTTGTTTTTGGTCTGTCGTGTTTGATTATTTGGTGGTTCTGTGTAGAAAGAAATGCACTTCTGGATTATTTGTTAAAAATGTTTTAATAAAAGAAATGTACAGATTTACAGAATGATTGAAGGAAAGGAGTGATGCAGAATGCCCACCCTCCCAGTGTATTTAGTCTGAACATTCTTCCTATTTTTCTTGTCAAAAGGCACTCCAAGCCCTCTGGTGGCCGGTTCCTTTTCTACAACACAGAGTAAGTCCAACCCCTCGTTCTTTCTTAAAGCAAAATGGACGATTAAACAATGACTTAAGGCATTGATACAGCTAAATGCGCACTGTATATTTCTATGCTTTCCACTGTTCTTTTCTGTTGTTTCCCTCATGATTGAAACTTTATAGATTTTTTTCCTAGATTCAGCCTCATTAACAGAAGGGATTGGACATTAGTACCGTTTACATTAGTGTTTGCGTAGGTCCAGACATAGAGTAATCAGTTCATACCAGAGTTACAGGAAAAGGAACACTTTTCTCTGCATTCTGGGGTGTCTGAGCAACATGACAGATGTCAGCTCACCTTTTTGATTCAAACACATTTCCATAAGTGAGACAGCTTGGATGTGAAATCCAAGCATGAACAGTTGACGTTGAATATTTCAGACACGTTCAGCCTTTGGACAGAGATACTTACCTTGTTGAATTGTGAAATATGCTTTTTAAGTGTGAGTGTCACATCAGTCTAACAGTACATCCCTCAATACAGGCTTTCCACTAAAAGTATCTGATGAATATTGCGAATAGAAAAGTGCACCCTGAGCAGGTCTTCAGTCCATCACAGGTTTATTATATGTTAACATTAAGTGACTGCTCTGTGCCATTGAAGGAAGCCTGAGTTTCTGGAGAAAGTCAATGCATGCACAGGGTGAACATGAACACTCTGTGTGAGGCGACATTGTCAGCTGTCACACCACTACATTTTTTTTTTCGCTCATTCACCAAATTCATCCACTTTTTCATGTTTTTTCTTTGCAAATTCAAAGATTCAGGCTCACAATTCCTGTTAATATCCGACATGTTATAATTATTGAAATGGCTAAAATAAATGCAGACCAGTGGAGCATGGAATTTCCTTTTTGTTTTTTCCTTTTATTTATTCATTTTTTGTTTCTTAGAGCCCTACACTTGTGGTGCCTGTGGCATCCAGTTCCAGTTCTACAACAACCTGCTGGAACACATGCAGTCGCATGCTGGTGAGTCCGCGACTACAGATACACATTTCACTGTAGATGGAAACAAAGTGACGTGCATGTGAAAATCTTATTAAGTTCAAATTCTCTTTGGTTTATTGAGGGGTCTCTTCATTACTACTATATAGAATGATATGGAAGGTCTTTACAGAGGGTTGTTGCAGATCTGGGCCTGAAGCTGCTAGATTTGATCCTCATCAAAACATTTCATGCTTTAAGCATCACATCACGTTATGTTCTATTTTTTCCTTTTATTAGTTATTTTAGTTTAATCAATAATTTAATCAAAAGCAATTATCAGCCATCCTTAGATAAATCATGATAACCAAATCCAATATTGTCTTCCACACACTGATCTCAGAAAGTTTCTCTTATACAATATTTGCGTTGTTGGAAAATAATGGAGGAAACTATTTACTTGCAACATCTTGTTGAGTATATTAATAAAATACAATTTTATGTAATATGTTGTTTCCATTGTGACAATTACTGTGCTGCGCTTGTTCTCTGCATTTCCACCATTAAAATCCATCAACAGTTGTTACCAGCAGCTCTGCCTATTCTTCCATCTCTCTGTCCTCAGCTGATAATGAGAACCACACCAAAGGGGACTCCCCCAAAACCTCTTCAGCCTCCGGCCCTCAGGAGCAACTGTGGAGAGGTTCCCAGGCTCAAGCCCTTCCCTCAGTTAAACTACAACTACAGCCTCAAACCATCTCCCAGAGAAACCATACCCTCAGCCGTGAGTACAGCCAGCTCATCAAAGCCTGTGGTTCAGAACAGCTGAATTGTTTTTCTTACGACATTTGATATTACCACTTATTGGTTATGTATTTGTTACTTTAGTTTGTCAGATGATTGCAATCCTGCCACTAATTGTCTCTCTGCTGCTTCCTCTGCCAGAGAATAATGGACTGCCAGAGAAGGAGCGGCAGCAGGTGGCTGAACGCCTGTTACGGGTAATGTGCTCCGATCTGAACATGTTAAATGTGCTCAACAGCAAGGACTTCCTGAAGCTGGCACAGACTCTGGTGGATACTGGTGCTCGTCACGGTGCCTACTCCACTCGTGACGCTCTTGGCAACATGAGTGCCTTGGCACTGCGCCAGCTGCCGCGCATGTACAACCAAGTGAAAGTCAAGGTCACGTGTGCTCTGGGCTCCAACGCCTCTCTCGGTATTGCTGTAACCTGCCACTCTCAGACATCTGGCCCAGACGCTTGCTACGTTCTCACAGCCTACCAGGTGGAGGGCTCCAGGCTGAAGCGCTACGTGCTCGGTGTTCGAGAAGCCGAACTGAGGGAGGGGCCCGAGCAGGTTCACCACTGGGTGCAGAATGTGCTGTCTGAATTTGTCATGTCAGACATCCGCACCGTTTATGTTTCTGAGCCCCGAGTGTGGGCCGCAGGATTCGCAGGGTCACCACTGGGAGGTGGTGGCCGGGGGAGGATGTGTTTGCGGTGCGCCGGGTGTTCACTCGGCGCCGTTGTCCAGGCGGTTCTCGGAAAGCGCAGCCTCCAGGCTCGAGGGCTCCACGAGCTAGCTGAGCTTCTCTCCACGTGCAGAGATATCGCCTCCTCTACCACGCTGGCTCTTCGCGACGAACAGAGCTTCAACTCATCCACAAGCACAACCGAGGAAGGTACACAGGTCAACTCTGCACAATGCCCCACCCCCCCATGCTGGGACCGCATGGCCGAAGCTCTCCTGCAGGTCCACGCCCATTTCGAGCACATTTGTGAAGCTTACGGGCGCAGTAAGACCACAGCTCCACTCCTGCAAGGTCTCAACAAGCATCTGCTGGGCACACTGGCTTGTCTGCTGGCACCTTTACGCCTGGCAGCTCTGGAGCTGAGCAGCCAGAGGAGACCAACCTTACAGCAGGTCCTGCCTGTCTATCTACGCTTGGAGAAGTTTTTCACCTCCAAAGCCGGAGAGGCTGGAACTGGCACAGCTAGCAAACTCTGCCACTATTTCCTCGAAGCACTCAAGGAAAACTTTAAGGTATTGAACTGTTATTACTGATTTTGTGTTTAATTTAGCTATCGGTGATACCAGATATTTAGAAAGCCACCATAATCCATTTAAATCTCAAATATATGAAGTCCGACTGGATATTTGATGCAACTGTTTGGGCTATAACTGCCAAAATACAGTATTTGCCAGTAGTTCATGATGTGTTTCCTTGTCCCCAGGTTGAAAGAGCTCATCAGGTAGCCATGGTCCTGGATCCACAGCTTAAGTTGCGTTCTGTGCCGGCCTACCAGCATGAAGATATAATTTCTCGTGCGTGTGAAATGGCTGCAGAAACCAGGGATGGAGGTATGAGTGGCGGAGGAGGTTCAGGTGGGGAGGAGCGTGACGCCGATGGCCCTCCCACCCCTAAAATTAGCCGTATAGAGGGAAGTGGAAACAATAGCGGCCCCTCAAGGGGCACTTGCACAGTTTCTAGTAATGATGAGGGTCAGGGCCTAGTTAGACAAGAGATTTTTCAATACCTGGCTGAGCCTCTTCTCCAAGGCACTCCGGATCTCTTCCAGTACTGGAGCTCAACGGTGGGCGAGAAGTTCCCCAGGCTCTCCCGCTTGGCACTGTGGCTCCTGGCGGTGCCTGCTGTGGGCATACGCAGCGAGTGTGTGACTGTGTGTGAGCAGAGCCTGGCCATGAAGAGGAGGCAGCAGGTCACAGCTGAAGAGATGAATAAACTCATTTTCCTTCGCTCTAACATGGGTTAAAAGAAAAACCCTTATCAACCAAACTTTCACCTCCAACCAATGACTTCAGACACTTATTTATACTCTGTAGTTTTAGACCAATTGTAAACATAAACGTGTAAGAAAACTGAGTACTTCTCCAAGCAGAAAAGCATCTACGGATAAACTCACATTTTCAAGGTTGCAAGCACCCACAAAAAATTCAAACTCATTTGATGTTTTGAATTTAGATTTGGCTGATGTAAAGAAGGAGGGACAAAGTGTAGGGGTGGAATGGTAACTCGAAAGAAAACAGTCCTGTTTGTTACGCTGCCCTTGGTTCGGGAGGCACACATATGCAGGATGAGTTTAATTCTGTCACCGCCAGTGGTCTGAATTGCACCTGTCCTAGATATTACTCTAAAAAGCCTATGATGCTGTTACTCTCACTGGTTGGCAACGTTTTCAGGTAAAATCAGCATTCACTGATTGAATCTACCGTCTACACCTCTAAAAACCACACCTCTGGTTTATTAACGCCGTTGAAGAGGGAGATGGCAGCAAGCTACTGTAACATTTGCAGTACGTTTGGAAAAGGTCATTTATACATTTCTCTTTATTGGTGTATGACAAAGGAATCAAGAGGTGAATTTTCACTGCCGTTACACCTCTGGAACTGAAGTGCACTAGGTTTATGATTTACTCAACAAATCACTAAAAATAATAACTTTTCAAAACATTCAGCCTTGGACGATAAGTGAGATTAATAGTTGCAGATGACTTAATGGTTACTTCAGTAGCTCAAAATGTAGCGCTGGGCAATGGGCATGTTCTGCATGCATTTTCTTCTGTTCAGAAGGGCAAAATGTAACAGGTTTTATGTTTGAAACGATGTGATGCTTTCCCTTTTCATTGGAAGTCGTGAAGAACAGACACCACTGCTGCTAGATATGCAAGTCTTTTGACTGGCAAAGAAGAGCTCAAATTCCGAGAGAAAAAAAAAGATTTTTTTTTGTTGTTTTGTTTGAACACGCTATTTTCAAATGGACGAGGAACAAAGCATTCAAGACTGTGTTTTAGTATTTATTGATTTATAAAAAAACTACTTTTCTAAAAACAACTTTAATTCAGCTTAAATATACCTGTCATAGCTGAATTACACTTACTAAAACATTTAACATTGGATGACAGTCCTCATATTAGCCTTTTAATATTTGACAGTACAACCAAAGTTGTAAGTAAATGAATAAAAAACAAAAAACATTATTAGGCCATATTGACCTGCCTAATGATGTTTTAGAGTCCTAGTATTTCAGGAATGTAACATCGTTTAGCTCTCTGACTGTAGACCACAGATAGCTGAATAGCGTCACCTCTGCCTTCCTGTTACGTAAACAGCAGAAGCAGCAGGACTACAATTAGTTGAGCTTGTTGGCAAAACTTTAGTTTGTAACAGTAAACATCTTTGTGTGTATTTGCTTGCAAGCTGATCTAAAAAAAAAAAAACCGAAAAAGTGCACGGTAGGGTCATTTTACTTTTCTTGCTTCCTAGTTTTTCATTCTAATATGAATTTCGTCTTCCTTATGTGAGCTACAGGTTTCCATTTTTAAGGCAATAAGCTTTATCACAGGAAATAGTTCCCAACTTTATCGGACTGTTCTCATGACACTCCTACAGTTAATTATTAACAGGAAATTGTTTAATGTTTTGCAAATTCAGTGGGATTTCTCAGGAATGAGCACATCCAAGCAGGCACCGCCACTTTTCCTCGCTGTACCGAATAGAAACCAAACTGTGACCTCAGTGCTGAGGTATGTACTGAAACGTGGCTTTTGTAGAACCTTCCACCCCAAAAGCAGTTAGTGCCATTTGCAACAAATTTGATACAGAGCCTGCTGGTGCATTTACAAAAGTTAACACACAAAACTCACACAAACTCGCACACGCTGTTACTTCCTAAGTTGTTTGAAAGGGTGGAAGCTATACTGTTATATATGTTTGTTGCCTTTGGTACTAACTAGTAAAGTGCTAGTTGTTATCTATGTTTTTGGGCCTTAAGTCTCATTTGTGCGCTCACCTTAAACCCTACATTCAGAGCCAAAATCATGCCTTTGTATTAAAGTTAAATGGCCTTCCTTTGAGTTTTTTTTTCTTTCATTTTGTTGAGCTTTAGTAGCTTGGCTGTTTTGTTTATCTAAACTCCTGAAGGCTTACAAGGACGTGATTGCTGACGGTTTGAAACAGTGTCCCCTAGTGCCCACATGATGACTTTTTAGTGGCAGAAAACTGTGCTAATTGACAAGTGCTTTATTTATATGTTCCCAACTTTTAAAAGTGGACTCAGTTGCGTGAGCGTGCTTTGAAAGACATCTCTGAATTAATAACACAGGTCAGTAAGGACCTAAAAACAAACACTTAACATTTTCTACATCTTTATAATAGTGTCATACAGGAAATAACACAGAAGAACTGACACTGTGATTTTAAGTTGCAATTAGAGGCAACTTGGATATCGACTTTTCATTCTTAAAGCCCCATTTTCTCTTATTTGATTAAACTCTATATGTTTTGTTTTTCTTCTTGCACCATTGGCCACCATCCACTTTTTCTGGCACTCAAACAAGCTGTTACTCTAAAATCCCCTTATTACGGAGATCAAAAGGTTCCAGTATAATGTCTCTTTTTTCTTTTTCTTGGTCTCTTTTAAAAAAAATGTTTTTGTTCTTGTGATGCTGCCCAGCTTTAGGCTCTTTTAAAGTTTGATATCCCACTTGTTTCTTTTAAGCGTATAGGTTAGATTAATTCAAACAACCCTTTCCTACTTCAGAGCGCTGCCAGCTCACCGCTGTCTAACCTGCAGAGGTTCAACTTCAGGCCAGTGGAAACTGACACACTGTTCTCAGAAACTGAGTAATTCTTTCTAACACTGTTACTGCTTTGCTTTGTCCAGTATCCCTCTACCTTCAGAATGGATGCCTGATCATCACTGATCACGGTTGGCCTTTCAAGACCCCCCCCCCCCCCCCCCCCCCCCCCCCCCCCCCCCCC